AAAATGCAAGAAGTTTGAGGCCTTGAGGCAAATATGTAAGACAACATCCAAAAATATAAATACTAATATCCGACATACTGATGTCTTGTGAACATCTGAAGGATTTCATTTGGAAGATTTATTATACTTTTGATTTTCGAATTCAAGTGGCCTTTTCGTGCCTTTTCATAAAAATACCTACAAAATAATAACCAAGTTCTGGCCACGTATGTTTTACTACAATATTAATTCATTACTCATATTCCTGCTTGTATGACCCAACAATTGTTCGTTTTAGGATGAAAAATAACATTCACCTGTAATTTACCTGTAAAAAAATCGGTGCAAATGAAAAAATAATCGGCGCAAATGAAAGAAAAAATCGGCGCAAATGAAATGCAGATCGGCGTAAATGCAAAACGCCGGTAAATTATTGTCCAAACTGTCACAGAGAATAAATTGACTAAATGAATTTCCGAGTCCTTTGTCCAAGATTATGACACTTAATCTGTGTAAAACACTTATGTCTAAATTTACGACAAAGTTCAAAATAATAAAATATGGAAAGAATATATATAAAATATGAAAAGATAGACATACACTTGAAATAATAAAATGTTCTTTGAAAACTAATTTCACATTCCACAGTCCAAATAGTCCGGTCATATATGTATGATATGGACAAGCTTCAGACAATGAAATGATATTATAAAAGAGGTATAACTTTTAATCACGTTTATCTGATATTGAATTACAGGAAGTGGAGTTGACGAATATGAGACAACAATATCCCGAATATCGTGGAAATGAAAATATGGTAATGGTAAAGCTTTCGAAGAAATTATTAAGTAAAATTTCATTGAAAATGGTTAATTCCGTCTATTTCATTTACAGTAATTCTAAATGGTATTTATTTTTAATCAATCTGATGCATTACTCTACCATATTTTGATTTTTTGATTTCTTATTATTCATTGTACTTACAGTTTAAGGATGTATTCTTCTGACGTTACAGTCTCGTTGAAATCTCGTTCTGGAATTATTTCCAAAATATGTGATACAAGTGGAAAATATCAATGAATCTAAAAAATGTTATAATCAAACTTAACTCTGTGAAAAAATTGTGTATTTACAATGAGTAGTTTTTGTGTAATCAATTTTTTCAAATTTTATTACCAATCAAGTCATTCTTTTTAGCCAAAATTTTGAGAAAATGGGTGAGGGGTACAAGAAATGATTTTACCAGAAACATGTACATCCCATATCACTTTTTTCTTTTCAAATTTCTTAGATATGTATTTTTTCAATCATTTATAACAAAGAAGTTGAAATAATATGCATTTTGTTCTTAAAACAGAGAAAAATCACAAATTTACAAAATTGACAGCATGGTTAATTTGACACAAACAAGCATCAAAATATGATAAAACTTTCTTATATTAACACCTACCTATAGTTTTTTAAGTTAAATTTATTCAGATTGGTCCACTTCATCTTTATTGAAAGTATGAAAAAAAGTTTGATTGTGGAACTGTGATTTTTTTCACAATAATAGCCCAAAAAAAGGTAAAAATTGATGAAAAATAGGAAAATCATCAAAATTGGATACTTTCAAAGGGCCGTAGCAAAAAAAGAAGTGCACCACCATATGATTTTTTCTTCATCAATTATTTTTTTACAGTCATATACTGTAAACCAACTAATTTTCGCGAGCGATTTATTTTCGCGATTTTCGCGAGTAGAAAAATAACGCGAATATAAATCGTCGCGAATATATAAAACTTGGATTTTTCCGTATTTAACTACATCAAGTAAATGTGAGAATCGCGAAATTGAATCGCCGTGAAATGGACTAGAAAGGGTTAATCGCGAAATAAAGTATCCGCGAAAATAAGTTGCTTTACAGTAAACCCAAAAATCAGGTTAAGAAAAAAAGTTTAATTCTAGAAATTTTTGGCTCCTCAGAGGTGTACATCCTTAAAAAACAAAATTGAAATTGCAAAATAAAATCACTTTAGGATCTTCTCGGTCTCTTTAGAATGAAGTAGAATTTAATTATCTATTGTTTTAGATTTATTACTTCAACTACTTTCGTCAATTTTGTAGTCGAGTTATTAAACGACAGGAACACCAACGGCGAAAAAAGAACGTCAGGAGCACCTAAGTTCAACTTAAGTTTAAGGAGTTCTTGTTGCTTTTTGCTTTAGTTTTCTGCTCAATACTATATGATGAGATACAGTCTTTATTATTAAAAAAATCACATTAGGCAACAGGGAAAATATTCCTCAATTTCCGGAAATGACCAAATGCCTTAAATTTTAAGGCTTTTGGGGTTTGCTTTGTCTTTGTCTCTATGTAATATTTAATACATAATTGCACACATTTCCGGTAACACCCACACACACGATGATATTATTTTTTGATATTTTCACCTTGATATTTATCACGTCAATGTTATCATTATAATATTTTTGCTACCTTCATTAAAAATGTATTCCTATCTGTCTCTGGAGAAAACTTACAATGAAAACTACCAAAAGGAAATATGTTGATAAATATTAAGAGTTTTTTATAAGCATGTACTGAAATACATAATGCATATTTTATATCTAAAAGCCTTTAAAGGGGTACCATTTAGAAAAATTTTACATGTCTCTAAAATCTGTATTTAAGTTGTTTTTGGACACTATGATCTTCCATAAATAAACGCAATTAAGGTACTGTTTATTAAAAATATAAATAATTTTCAAATATTTCTTTAAATATCTATTCTTCAAATATCTAAAAATCCGAATATTTTCATTAACATATCACTCCTGTTAATGAGTCTTTAGTTAATTCTGTTTTAAGAAAAAAAAAAATGAAATAAGTTATGACTAATTTTTATTTATCATATTTAAGGATTGTTATATAGTAAAATACAAAAATTTATAAAATGTATGTAAAGATAAGTTAAAGATTGATTAATGAAAAAATTGAGCCCAAAACGAGGATTAAAAACGAATGAGTTATAATTACAATTGCGATTGTCAATTATATTGAATAAATGTGATATTATAAATATTTTACCTATAGCAAAACGAAAATTGTTGTATTTGGAAATGGATGGCAACCAATAAATGTCCATTTTTCCTACGACGAAAAAGCTACAAAATGTCAATTCTTATATATATATATCTGGGTATGTTGTTTTATTCTAATGGAAAGTTCTTACAGACCCAGAGAATTGTGTCGATTCAGGGATAACGAGCTTTATCTTCATTGTAAAACTCAGTTAATATTTTGTACTTGTTGATGAAGCAACAACTTGAACTATTTGACAGTATGGTGGCATCTGTTCTTAATTATGGTTTGGAAATAATTATGAGGTTTCCATCGAGGAAAAGAGGTTGAGATAATTCATAACCATTTGTGTTGCAACATTTTAAAGGCTGGCACAACTGTGCCATTTTGTTAAGTGTGTTATGAGAAAATTTAGAATTCTCAAATACTGGTTGACTATTGTTATTAATAATAGAATAACAAATCAGCATATACAATGCTGGTAAGCATCTGTAGAAAAGCGTGCAAAACTTAGAATTTATACGAATATAAAGTAAGTAATTAGGTTTTAAGGTTATTTAGATAACTTTTATAATTCACACTTTTTAACTAAATTGCGTAGCGGTACACTAAAGCTGAACCTTGAAACAGGAAGATATACTGACATGGCTAGAAAATTACGATTCTGCAAATGTTGTAATATGCAGTGCGTTGCATTGGTATACTTCTCATTAGTATGCCCGGCCTATAGACTTATAGCATCTGTTTTTTGCCAAAACTTTATTGTTCTTGACCCAAACACCACTGAATTACAGTTTATATTATTAAAAATTATTAACACCTGTTTCACTAATAAAGAAATTGTAAACTATAATTACATAAAATCAGCATGGTCAATCAGATCACACGTTGCTTGTTTTCTTATGCATTTTATGTATTGCTATCTGATGTTTATCATTTGTCTTGTTGTAAATATATATCCGTAAAGTGGATTATGCTATAAATTTCCCAATCAACTACATTGAATAATTCTTATCGTTAACAGTTCTTAGTTCTTAACGTTAAAAAATACGTGCCCTCGAGAATATCTTAAACTATTTTCTGACGCGGAATACCATACCAAAATAAAAAAAAGTTTGAGTCAGAATTACAAGGTAAGAGTTCGAAATCAGATATATATATATATGAATCGATATTTACTTCATTTTTTTAAATACACATTCTTTAAACAATAATTCATTTCTAGCCTCCTCCACCAAGTGATACAGAGGTGCCCATGATGACAAGGACTTAATGATAAAGATTCAATTGACTCTATTTTAATTCAGGTCGGATATATTAATGCGTCTTCGGATATATCGATAATCCAACAAGAAATGACCATCCTTTATAATCAAGAGATATTTTTGCAAATACATTTATTGGAAATGAAGAACATATTTTAGAAAAAAAACATGTATTGAATATATAAGATCTTAAATACAATGGATTATCTGGTCTGCTTTTAATTAAAACTGGACAGGCAAATAGTACGTACAAACATACAAAATATAATCACATCATGTTTGTAGATAACTTAAATTTCAAATAATAATGAAACTTTGACCATTAGATTTCTCTCTTTCCCGTTATTTACCTACAGTCTTCCTGATTGGAATTGAATGAATGGAATCAGAACCAAAGAGCTATATAAAAAGGCGTACAGTAAGATTTTAAATACGCAATTTCCTATATTTTCATCTGGAAATAACTCTAAGTAATGCAAATGTAGACAGTTGCTCATTGTTTTAGGTCACACGGTAACGTATACCTGTTTACATCCTCGTCATTTAGTCTCTGGTGGATAAGTGTCTCATTGGCAATCATTCCACACCTTCTTATTTCTATATAGTTATTCCACACCTTTTTATTTCTAAATAGTTATTTTTCATCAAAGTTTGGGGATAATTGAACTATATCTTTCAAATTATCTTTGACAGACGATGAAAACAATACGGATTGCATCCCAAGATCTGTGGACAATTTTCCAGGGAATTTCTTCACATTGGAACAGACACAAGATGGCGGAGTATTTCTCCACATTTTTATTGCCCTGTATTTGTTTGGTGCACTGGCAATTGTTTGTGACGACTATTTCGTGGCCTCCCTAGAAGTAATTTGTGACGGTAAGTTTTCTTCCTCAGAAATTTAATATTTGAATACTAACTATCTGTATAAGATATTTTGAAATAACTTTTCTTTTCAATAATATTTGATAACATTAAATGAACAGCATAACTCTATATCACAGAACAATCAGCATCAACATACGAGACATACAACAAGAATCGGAAGACGAAATATGATTGGAAAATGTGGATAATCTAATTTAACCCAGACATCTCTTGGCCAACCACAGCGCTGGTTATAACTGACTTTCTAATGTTGTATATCGTACTGTAAAACACATACTAATATCAAACTCTAAAGATATTTAAATGATTTAATTAATCTTTATATAGTGTGTGCTTTGGTTGATTCCATTCAATTGTTCAAAAACGTGTTCGAAGTACGCCGTTTATCTTTTACCACACATTTTTATAATATACAAAGTTAAAGTATTGTCGACGTTTCATTGCTGTTTTTGTATTTCCTTGAAAGATATGACATGTGATCAATTCTTGTTGATTTTTTTTTTTTTATTAAAGTAAAAATAATAATAATAAACAGTGAATTGTAATCATAAAAGACACACACATTATGTATAGATGCATGCAAAATATACATTGGTAGAAAGTTTGTCGAATATCTATGGTTATGATGATTTACTTCATCATTATGGTAAATAAACTTATTTTGTGTACCAAAGATATGAAAGTCGAGATAACCTTTTAATATACATACACTGAACATGTAGATAAAAATGGTTAATTTGTAATAACATTTTGTGGATAAAATAAAACAACACACACACACACACACACACGAGAAAATGAGCTTTGTGTTCTCAAACTTAAAGACGTGATGCAAGTTGTGAAACCAAGCACAGGAATAAGCAACTTATTTAAAGCTGAAATTCACTGCAAGAGGTACTCAGAAATAAAGGCGCTGAATCTCTATCACATACTAATGGCTCGACATTGAGCTGCCCTCAAGGAGTGGGAATAAAAATAAATGAAATAAATACAAATGAACTTATTAGTTATAGTGAAATTTGTATTTATTAGATAGAGCCATTGTTGTTTTGTACATAAAGTTTTGCAAGTTGAAATAAATCTATTTGTATTATCAAAAAAAAAATGCTGAACCAGTATATATTATTGTTTAGGGGCCAGCTGAAGCTCGCTTCCGGATGCGAGATGTTGGTGCCCTTGACCTGTTTTCTGCTCTTTGGTCGGGTTGTTGTCTCTTTGACACATTTCCCGTTTCCATTATCAATTTTATTAAAAAGATATTACTAGATTACTTTGACGTATTAAAATCAATAACATCTTCATTGATTTCGGCGATGTTATTTTCCTACAAACGATTAAAATTATGAGGGGTGTAAATTTTGAAATGATCCTTGTGTCATTTGTTTGAACGCATTCAAAAATTAGAACAGCACGTTATAAATTTCATGCGTTCGAAGCGCTTTTTCTGGAATTACCTTCACCAGGAACGATCAAAGACCAAAAAGGACTTAAAAAAATAGCCAAAAACATCTAAGGTCAACTTTGCTTGAGGGAGTTGAAACCTTGGTTTCTTTATTATTTAAAAAATCATAAACGGACAATTTCGAAAAGGTTTGTTATAAATCATTTCAGTACCGAAGCACTTACTACTGAGCTGATGATACCCTCGGGGACTGATAGTCCACCAGCAGAGGTATCGACTCAGTGCTATAAAAAACTGAAACCAACACGTTATAAATTTCATGCGTCCGAAGCGTTTTTCTTGATTTACCTTCGCCAGGAACGCTCAAAGCCGAATATTTGAAAGCCAAGGATGTATAAGAACGGTTATAATTAAAGAAAATGGAAAGAAGTTAAACCTAGTCCTTACTTTAAGGGGGTACCCAACACTATGACTAAAATAGATTTGGCCCGTTTAAATTTCACAAAATGTTTACAAAATATTAATTTGATCTGTTGACAAAAATATAAAAAATTCAAGAAATTTGAACCACACAATTTACAGACGCGTAATTTCATTGGATATTTAGCAGTTTGACATACACTAATTTCGATCTTTGAGAAGCTTGATTTTTCTACACTCTAATAGCTTGTGATCAAACTATTCAGCTGATTTCAGCTGAAATGATCGGCCCATAAATGTTCTGCACCCCCATAATCGTATGTTAAATAAACGATGTACTTCTTATAATATAATAAGTATAAAAATACTTATTACGGTTAAACTTACAACTTTTAACAGGAAAAGTGATTTCCGGTTTTCATATTTATATTGATTTTGTCTTTCTGATTTCCAACTTACCTAAATACATATAACATGAAGATAGAGAAAAAATGAACGTATGTGGTACTCAAATTTAACCCTTAAATCTTTGTTGAAAACTACTGTGTCAATACCTCTGTTAAGGGATGTTTTATCCGCGCGGACATACCAAACCCAGTAGTCAGCACTCCTCTGTTGACATGACATATCATTGATGTGGTCATTTTCTGTATATTTCTGTTAAAAAAAATGAGAAAAATCATTCGAAACTTTTAGGTTTTTCTACTGTCAGACATAGACAGCCTTGAGTAGACTTGCCACAACTTTGGGAATTTAAAGGTTTCAATTCTCTTTAACTTCGTAATTGGTCATGTACTTTTTATATGAGCGTCACAAATGAGTCTTACTTAGACTAAGCGCGCAATTAGTGTACTAAATTATATACCCGGTACATTTGAGGACTTTTGAAACCACTTGGTGATGATCCTGCTAAGGCACGTTTCGTCATCTTGGATATACCAGTCAAATAATGGACACTCCTTTTTTATATGAAGTCATCTATAATAAATTTATTATCCATACAATGTTAAAATCATCAAAGATGCACTTAGAAATTTTCGGAATAACTTTTTACAATTTCGGTTTTTTCAGAACTCTTCAAATTCGTAATTGATTTTTGTCTCGATATAACAGATGTTTTATACAAATCAGTTCTGGGTTTTAATGGATCGGTGCTTTTGATTTGTATCGTTTGTACACTGTGCTCTGGATTAAATGTAGATTTTTATTTCCTTTTAAATCACAAAGAAAGAGAACTACTTGTTTTCAACATAAGAATATTTCCTCATACCTACCGATAACATATAATATTAGGCTAGGGATTTTTCATTATTCTGGCCACAAGCATAACGGAAGTGACATTCTCTATATCTCTAATGAAGTTCAATTGGTGTCATTAAATGTTATTACAATCACTGGGTGACACCTTAATTAAAAGTATCTCCAGACCAGTAGAATTTGAATTTAAGACACGTAGCTCCCTAATGTATATCTCTGATTCCTGTCCGGATTTGACTATATTTTTGCTACTTTTTCAACGTTCAGACTTCTATTAGTTTCGGTTTTTCAAATCTGAAGAGCTACACATTAATTGATAAATGCGCATCTGTTTCAGTAAAATCAGGAGAGTTAAATGTTATTACACGATTTTTTATTGGTCGTATATATTTGGTTGTGCAATTTATATGGTAAACATATCAATTAAATTGCACGCAATAACAGGAAGACGTATTCTGTTTGCTTCTGATATATTGCTTCATTTAATCTTATATAGATTAAAAAAGTCAAAGGTAATACTACATAATAATAGATAATAGAAACTATACAAACAGAGTGTAAATAGTTACAGGTTCCAGAAATGACAGAAAAAAACAAACTTAACAAACGAATATAATTTGAAATGAAATATATGCTGAATCATTTAATTCTTTTTTTTATTTCAGTATTTGCATCTGATATATTGTATGTTTTGCATTTTTTGTTTGAATTAACATGTACAGCGCCTTAGAGTAATTTTGTTTCTTTGATATAGAGCGCTTTATATATTTTCATTATTATTTTATTATTATAACATAGACCAGAAGTTGCGATACCGGTGTTATTAATTACGTTGGCTTTGTATTGAACTTCTCATAAATAGGAAGCCATTTAAAAATATTCTGTTGAGGACATTTTAACATCGATAAATTAGTGTTGCCGTTAATTTATTACATATGAAATTATTAACAATGCTTATAATCTATTTTAGAATTAAATTTGAAAGAGGATGTGGCTGGTGCCACTTTCATGGCAGCAGGAAGTTCTGCACCAGAATTCTTCACAGCATTGATAGGTAATATGCTTAATAGTTCAAATTTGGGTTTACTGCCGTAATCATAAAGTAAGATTTTAAGGTGAAGATAAGAAAATACACCAATGCTTCTTTTTGTTCGATTTGAATTGCATACGCAAACGGCGAAAGATACCAAAAGGACTTTCAAAACTCATAAATAGAAGAGATACTAGAACCTCGTGGCAAAAAAAACCCAAAAACAGAAGACGTAAAATAACAAACAAGTACACAAAACACTACATAGAAAACTGAAGACTGAGCAACACGAACCACACAAGAACATTGGAATAATCTCGGATGCTACAGAAGGAAAAACAGATCCTGCAACACCAGTGGCACCAATCATCTTGCTCAACTTGGAAACGCAGGATTCTAACTCAAAATAATTAATGTAACTGCTTTGGTCTGAAATGTTATTGGAATTTCTTAAAATAGGTATTCATTTGTACAATAATACATTCAAAACGTAAAATTTTAAAGATAAATAATGACCATAGTGTCATTTACGCAGCTTTTTCATAGTTTTTAATAATCATTTAAAGTTGACTTCTTGATTAAATTACATCAAATGTTGAAAATACAATTAAGCGTAAAGTTGTCACGCTGTAAAGACATAAAAAGCGCGTTCTTTCAACAGTTGTCTCTGCGACTACAGTTGTAGAATGTTTAAAACAACAACACCAACAAAAAAACGAAGTCGGTGACACTTTGATTATCTTATACCAACAACTTCTGATTTTGAAGGGAAATATATGGACTCGTAATGCAAGTGATGTCGGTCATTTATCCTTTTTTTTATTTCTAAGATTTAAGTCAAGACCTGAAATGAGAATAACCAGGATGTTGAAGCTTAAATATGCCTTAAAATTGTACTCATTTAACTTTTTCCTTGTAGGCGTATTTATTTCAAAGAGCGACGTCGGAGTTGGTACAATTGTTGGATCGGCAGTCTTTAATATTCTGTTCATTGTTGGAGTTTGTGCTTTATTCTCTGGAATGGTTTGTTATCCGAAAGTTAAATGATAGACCTCAATATCATTAAAAAAATTGATTTCCATAAACACCATCAATAAAAGACGATCATATTCGAGATATAGTGCGGGATAGGGTTTAAACTTTTGGTTGAGTTCGAATTAAATGTTGATTAAACGCTTTAACTAAACTTCAGATAATGTCTTCGAATACTGTTCGACTTACTGTTTGAGCTACAACTCGGCTATGTTTAATCTAAATCAATTCCATTAATATCAAGCTTAAGTTGAATTAATCATCTCAATTGCAGTTACATATTATTTTTAAGGGCTAAATATTGAGTTCAAAAACGAGTTAATGTTTCATTAAGTTAAATTTGATTTAAAATCGGATTACAGTTACACATTTCGTTTTTTTTTGGATTACATATCGAATTAATATTCGTGTTCCATCTATCGTGTGCATGATTACGTAATACCGTAGCTGTTATTCAAAACAAAACTTTTGTTCTAAAATAGCTCGTATATGTATACAAGCATAATAGTTAAAATTTTTGAGTCATGATCAACTTTATTTTGTTGAGTCAATATTGCCATGAAAAATAGCAATGGCAAACCATATCAAATTCATCGAGTGTAAGGCATTTAAAAAACTTTTAGTTTTTAATATGTAATAATAGTGAAATTAAAAATAGAATATATTATTTGCGGTTATGTCTGCCTGTGTGTAGTGACAACTGTAAATTATACCTTGTCCTTCGGATTTCATATGATTAAGAAATATCAGGCGTTAGAATATTTATTAAATTGCCTAGAATATCAACCTAACAATGTTAGAGTAGATCTGATTCTTTACTTCCTTCTCGGGCGGGGTGGGAACCTGTACTTTTCACTTCTCACTTCTACGAAAACACCGCCTAGCATTGCACAGACGCCTTATCCCTTCCTCTAACTATAGCTGATAAAAATCATCTTTCGTTTCGGGAGGTGTTGTATCTATAAAAATTTAACATCTTAGTTCTGATATGTATAATAACGTGGAAATGTCATTCAAAAATCGTTTGTCAAGTAAAAGGATATGATTATTTCTCCGTGTCAGAATCGAAAAGGTCATGAAACTTTGGTGAATTTGAATATATAAATTATATTCTTTAAAAAAATATTTCGACAATGTTACATTTATCCGTGCAATAAATAAATATTATTCAATATAATACATTGTTATTTAAAATTTTGCATCAAAGGTCATTCAACATGCATTCGTTTCCAGATAAAAAGTTAATACATGTAAATTTAATCCCGATAGATTACGCATAATTTTTTTTTTTTTATTTGTTAATATCGCATATATTTTATTGTATTCTTCTGAAGTATTTGAAAATAAAGGAAAACTCCGAGAAAAATTAACATTCATTTCTACAAATAACTAACTAATTTTTCTTAAAATGTTCTGTACCAAGTCAGGAATATGACAGTTGTTATCAAATAGTCCGTTTATATGTATGTTGGCGTTGTTTTTGTTGCAGTTCAGTGTTTCTGTCGTTCCGTTGTTTTCCTCTTATAGTTGACGTGTTTCCCTCGGTTTTAGTTTGTAATCCGTATTTGTTTTCTCTTTATCGATTTATGACTTTTGAACAGCGGTAAACTACTGTTACCTTTAACTAGCGAAATAATAACACAAGACTGTATGATGCATGGGGTAACTGAGAATGACATTTTAATAAGTGATTTATAAGTATTCAATTGAGGAATAACACCACTAATTCATAGCCCCCTTGCTTTCTATGTTAAATTCTGCAACTTCAAGCATGCATAGCTAGTTCGTCTTACGTTTAAATAAAGTGATAATCATTTCATGTCACAACTTTACCTTATCCTGACTTGTGCTAAAAAAATCAAGTTTTTAAGTTTTCATTTGAAAGCAAAATTATCCAAATATTTTATTTTTTGACAAAGTTACCGCTATGCATAGGACCTATTTTGTTTAAAATATGTACTACTTTCTTGTATGTTCTTTCTGACCGGGCCAAATTAGTGTTCTATACCTTTGAGACAATGCTCGATTACCTTTTCGCCGTCTAAGGCGTTAGTCCCTTACTTTTGCTTTGAAACTGCAGCGTTGGAGCATAAACGGGCTTTTGATACTACTTTTATATATCTGGAATTCAAAACGTAGATTGAACATGCAATGTTTGTTATCATCATTCGTTATATTTTTAAGGTAGTTAATCTAACATGGTGGCCAATGTTACGAGACTGTGTATATTATATCGTAGCTGTTGCAACTCTAGTGATTGTCATACAAAACGGCAAAGTGTACTGGTAAGGTTAATTTTTCAAACATGTTTATATATATTTTTCGGAAAAAAAAATATTATCACTTACAAAAATGCACTGAAGACTTATTAAAAATATTTATATATATTATTAATTAAAACAATGTAAATTATATCGACTGGTAAAACATAAATCTGTTTTATTATTCATATCTTACATAACTCTATGAAAGTTGGAATTCTAGTTAGAAAAGTTAAAGACAATTGAAATAGTCTAATTGTTGCTAGAGGGAATCATTAGCCTATTTGTGAATGTTTCGCTATTACTTTCATTTATTGCAAACATATTTCATTTTCTCTTGAAATAGTGTGGAAACATTTGACTTGTCTACCCTAAGAAACACAAGTATTCCCCACTCCAAACTCAAAAACAAATTAAAAACATCAGTCTTAAACTGTTTACAAAAATGGTAGATACAAATATCTTGTTTTAAGGATAGACAATTCATATTTTGTAAATGACCAGTCTGATTCAAACCAAAAAAAAAAAAAATACTCTGAAACTGATATTATCAAGATGCTGGATTTATTGATTGACAACATATTTGTTTCGTTAGGAGGACGAACTTTTCAACAAACAATTCGCATTCCCATGGGAACCAACTGTGCTCCTCTTCTTGCCGACATGTTTCTTTATTCATATAAGACATACTCCATACAGGAACTTCTTTGGAAGAATAAAAAAAAAAAGCGAGCATTCCGCTATATAGATGATTTCCTCTCACTATATAATTCAAAGACTATGTAAATACATGTATCCCATCGAACTTGAAATAAAGGATACGACAGATACAATTAACTGTGCCTCATGTTTTGACTTACATCTACAAATTTGCAATGAAGGTCGGTTGAAAAAAAACTTTACGACAAAAGAGATGATTTCAGCTTTCCAACTTTCCATTTCTATGTAGCATCATTCCAGCAGCAGCGCCTGCATATGGAGTTTATATTTCATAGTTGATACGATATTCAGGAGCTGCATTTTCTATCAAGAATTCATTGATAGAGGGTTGCTGTTACAGGGAAGCTATTAAACCAAGGGTAACAAGTGGTCTAGTTGAAGTCATCCCCTCTATAATTTTATGGACGTCACCATGAATTAGAAATGTCTTCTTTTGGACCACATAAATTAAGACACTAATACTAAGTGGTATAAATGGAACCATTAGGTTGGCATATTATACCATCTTTTTCGCCAGGAGGATCGCTTGTGTGATTTTGGGCGACTGTTTTATCTTTGTTGTCTGCCAAATTTGACTTGCAAAAAAAGAACATTTTCAGTGGTGGGAAATTTTATCGGAATACTATGTCTTTAGTGTAACGTTGTATAAACCAGTTTTGCGTCACATGATAACAATAAAATCAAATCGCGTGAGAGAAAATTTGAATAAAGACATAGCCAAAAATTAACTGTTGAATCAGTTTTTAAAGAAATATTTTTTTTTGTTTTGAAATAAAAAAGAAGACATGATTTACAATTTATGTAATTTTAAAACCTTGACAGTAGATGCTTCTGGGACTTTTCTGAACGCGCCAAAGTGATTTACCTGCAACATATAAAGCGTTAAATTGAGAAACTATTTCTAATGAATGATTAAAAAGTTTTCACACTACAATTTAATTACATTTTACACAAAAATGAAAGACTTACCAAAAAAACACAAACAACTCACAATTGAATGTTCCTCAATCTTTAATTTACAGGTATGAGGCTTTGATTATGTTTTTATTGTATCTTGGCTACATTCTTATAATGTACTGGAATAAAGATCTCGAAGATTATTTTGAAAGACTTTATCGAAAACTCCGACATATTCCGGAAGACCCTCCATCACAAAATGAAACTCAGTCATTGACAGGTTCACAAAAGATAAGCAATGGTGTGTATAATACTTCTAAAGATTCAGTGAAAGATGTTGAGGACGCCAAAAATGACGAGGCAGAAACATCATTTACAGGAACACATGAGAGTGTTCCGCACGAAGGACATAAAGATAGTAAGATTGATTAGTTCTTTATTTTGAAAAAAAAGCAATATATATACATTGTCGGAAATGTAAAAATTATTTGTACGAGCTTTAGAAACAGGACGAAAAGCGAGTTTCTCCGGGCTATTTTCCTGTTTCGTAATGAGTACAACTAAAATTGAGAATGGAAATGGGGAATATGTCAAAGAGACAAGAACCCGACCAAAGAGCAGACAACGGCCGAAGGCCACCAATGGGTCTTCAATGCAGCGAGAAAATCCCGCACACGGAGGTGGTCCTCAGCTGGCCCCTCAATAAAATTGTGTGCTAGTTCAGTGAAAATGGACGTCACACTAAACTCCAAAACATATAAATGAACTAAAATTAAAAAACATACAAGACCAGAGGCTCCTGACTTGGGACAGGCGCAAAAGTGCGGCGGGGTTAAACATGTTTTGTGAGATCTCAACCCTCCCCCTATACCTCTGGTCAATGTAGAAAAAAGAAACACATAGCAATATTAACTACATTTTATATCTGACAATGTATATATATTGTTTTTGTCCTGCAATTTAGCGTTAGTTGTTTAAATCCAAATCATTGTCTCTGATTTTTCAAAGAAATCGACATAGTTAAAACGCAGACCGCAAAGAGGACCCCAAAATGAACTGTTATGCAAAAAGAAATAGCCACATTACCGCTTGCTCAATATAGAAGTTGGGTAACAGATTTTATTTGTACAAGAACAAATAAAGCTAAATTTTATTTATGAACCTGTTATTTGTACAATAGTTGCTGATTGAAAGATAAATGATGAGATGTAATTAATTATCACACATATTCTATCGAAAAATGATAATTGAATATTAATTTTATTAAATGGGGAAGTATATTACATATAATGAAAAAAATAGAAGCTTCACACGAGGTCCAAAGCAAAACTAACAACTTTTGTTGAAAAGAAATGTGATATGCATTTCACATTTAATTATAATTTGAACTCTGAACAAAATGAATTATAATAAAACTAAATTTTTACATTTTTTAAAAAGTTCTTGCTCCTTTCATAAAAATAAAATTTGTACAAAATGTTGATTTTTTGGAGTGAATTAAATTGTTTCGATAAAAAGCTGATAAAACATATAAAGATAAAAAAAAAGGCAAAACTGGACGAGGAACAAAATGAGCAGTGCACAAAAGAGATAAAGTCCACAATTCTAAACGATATCTAAAGTTTTATAACAGCAAATTGCAATAAAAATATGCATAAGTTCATGCCATTACCGAAGTACTGGCTACTGGGCTGGTGATATATTCAGGGATTATCAGTCAACCAGCAAATGTATCTATCAATAGGTAGTATTAACATTAATGGTTCTAAATGTACATCCTCAGACTCGCATTTCGACAACTATTGTATTTTAAGTGATGCTATAGGCCAAAATACTTGAAAATCCAAAACCTACTACAGACTTTGAGGAACGTATGAAACCCTGAAAAAAAGAAAAAGTTCAGAGTAAATTAAAAACCTTTAAAAAAATTTGTTATACTACATTTTAGAATTATTTTGTATATTTTTCAGTACAACATTGTCTTTCAAGTATACAATCCTGGCAATTAATTTGCGAAGTTTTGTAATTCAAAAACTATCAATTAGATCTAATGTCTATAATCTAGATAATTTAGACAAAATAAATAATCGTTCCTGCTGCGAATGAATTGAACGTATCAAAATGTCATATGGTAAGCAACTTTGATTACGATAATGAAATCTAATGCATGTTAAACTGTACTTTATTGACCTCAGTATATAAGTATATAAAATAAGGAGATGTGGTATAAACTGTCCATTAACGTCCAAATGCTATGGATTTAAGCTAAGTTTGGTCACCGTACTGTCTTCAACAATCTAGCAAAACCCATACCGTATATCCTACTTTGAAATGTCCTGACATGACAAATATCGAATCAGTTCAAACGAGGAAAAAAGTCCTGATACGCATTTTGCTGTACTCATTAATATTTATTTTATAAAGTTCTCCTTTACAAGAGATGTATCCATATCCCTAACATATGATTAATAAGTATCCAACCAAATCTTATCAACTTTGCATAAAACGACCCTGTGATAATTGTTGCTGGTTTAATGAGTAACACAAGAAAGCACAGCAACACATATTAAACAAATTTAGTTGAGTTAACATTCACACTACATCTCCTTTTTTTCACATGTTATAATACATTGTAAAATTCTTGAAGGTAAAGAATATGAATCACCATGGCTGATACCGATATCTTTTCCTGCTCGTATTCTCTGGGTAACCATGCTACCGGTAAAGGCATTACTGTATATAAGTATACCAGACTGTAGGCTACCCGGGCGATGGAGGAAGATGTACCCTTTGACTTTTATAATGTCAGTGGTGTGGATTGCAGGTTTCTCATATATAATGGTTTGGATGATTACAATAGCAGGTAATCTTGAAAAAGTATTAGATAATCAAAAATGTATTTAACACAAAAACATTTTCATAAATATTCAGAAAGCAATGTAGGCATGAGATTGCCTAAAATGTATTTCCAAATTACTCCTGTAAAGAAAGTTTAATTACGCCAATTATTGAACTCGTTTACTCGGCTTGCTGGTATTATGGACCTTTAGTATAAATTCATAAAAAATCTGACAAGAAATGTACCTATGAAAATGCTCACAAGACCGGACGCACGGTATATTACTATGGCCTTCGCACCGCTATGTTGCCTGGAACAATAACATATCAGTTTTGCGTCAACAAATTACCCGCCTTTTCGTTATCGTATGATATTTTGAAGAAAAAATCACGAAAAAGACTTCATTAAGTTAAGTAATGTTCATGTCACAGAAAACCACCAGCAAGCAAAAACTCAAAATTTTATTTATGTCCAAGGAACAATTAAAAACTGAATATCAATATAACAGATTGCTTAACACATTATGCACACAAGCTTTAAAAACTGGAGGTACATATGGTATTTACGATATTGCTCCATAATTTGTGATGTCCTAGGAGGTCTAATTTCGGAGAGAGGGAGGCTGAAAAGGGGTGTGTCTGTGCTAGTCCTGTCAAACCCTTCGTCCGATTGCCTGTATGTCTATTGATAAATTTGTCAATGCGAAATGTCCTACAGTTAGATAGGTATAGGACAAATCTTAACACAATCACTTCATTTACTGTTGCTTCATCAAATATTAATTGATACATTTCATTTTATGTGTAACGAATAATGTTTCGAGTAAATTTCTTATATGAAAAACGAATGATATGATATCCGTATCCACGAAAAATTAAGAAGACCAAATATGTTAAACGCTTTGACATGAAAATGGATAACTCATGCTTTAGTGTCGTAAAGATGAATTAAACGTATTAACTATAAAGTTTTTATTCATGGAGAAATGATTATTCATAGTTTTGAACTTGTTCTATCCAACTGTGTTGTTAACGACATTTGTCGAAGAGTTTCTTTTTAAAGGTATTTTCCGCAAAATTTTTACCAATGAAATGATTTTTAAAATGTTCATATCAGTATTGTTGATAATTAAACATCCTCTCAAAACTATTGTACATGATCAGATAAGCAGAAACATCAAAACATTTATTTTTATAGATTGTTAAAAATTGATTGTTTATAAAATATTTCAAGAATGTTTGTAAACAATATGTATCGCATGGTTCTATGAAACTGATAGCTGGTTTAAAACGGCAAAAGACAAAATTGAAATAGTATGTGTACATGAAATTGATAACGAATTAGATATTGTGTTTATTGCACTAGCGTCTAGATTGTTATTCTAATAAATAAATATATTCCAAACTACTATTTGAATCCTTAATAGTCTCTCTGGGTACCAATGCTTATGTATAGATATTTTTATATATTTATATACCTTTTGGTTTTGCCATTTGAAATTGTTACATTGCTTTGAATCAGATTTCCCGTATTATACTGTGTAGCGACATTTAGTTGCCAATAAAACTTGTAAAGTTGATTTAATATGATTAAATACAAAGTCCACCAGAACACATGTAAAATACACAAAAGAATCATGTCACTATGTTGTTACTATTTCAGGAGATTCCTTAGGCATTGCAGATACCGTCATGGGGTTAACGATTTTAGCAGCAGGAACAAGTGTCCCCGACTGTTTGTCCAGTTTGTTTGTATCCAGAGATGGTAAGCTGAAATTAAAATCGATTTACTAGTAGCCGTTCGTTGAATGACTGATAGTCATTTTTTTTATGACGGGGCTTGTAATATGAAAAAGCTAAAACTACTCTTGTATCAAGTTGAAATATTCCAATCAAGTCACAAAATCTGAGGGAATCGCATGAACTCCCAAAAAAAAGCGATACTGGTTAAATATACATGGTAAGCGTCTCCTGTGATGAACCCAGATTAGGTAGAACAGACAGATAATCAAAAAGATCGCTTCTTACAGGTTTTACAAAAAGTACAAGTTAAAATATTTCCACCTTTTGCATATATATCCTTGACTTATTTGAACCTTTATAATCTGGTAATATGATCACTGGTTTCAGATTCTGTACTTACTTCCTATTCTAAATGAAACATTTAAAAATGTTATAGAAATTCATCAAAGATATCAGGCTTATAAACAGATCTCGGGCGTTTGGTGACGACACAAGTATGCCTTCTTATCTTATCAGTTTGTTGTTGACATCAAAAGGAATGATATTGATGTCACTCCTGGTTTTTCTCCGGAAGGGGCTATTCGTTACTGTAACTGTCATAATATGACAGGTGCAAAATTTTAAATGTCAAAAGAATATTTTGAAAATAAATCAGTTTGTTCTTATCACATGAGCGTTTCAAAATATCTATGACAAACGTGATGATTTTAACTATCCAATTTTCAACCTCCAATTTCTCAGCAATAACAATACTCTCTGCCTCATCGTATGGCGGCGTGTACATACATGTTCACACTATACACAACACATGTCCCAACAGAGTTATGAGGAAGCACGACTGAAATCAACACTGCACAACATTAACGGTCACAATCACGAATTGGGTGACTGATACGATATGTCTGTGTTTCAATTCACTAGAGACATATTTCCTCAGTCTTACTTCTTTAGATATCAGAATCGTCGTCTAATCTGTAATTTAACCCAATATGTTGTATTTTTGATTCAGACATTTTGACTGATTGTGGATTCGCAAGGCGTGTAGTGCGTGCATGTCAGGAGGCGCGTGCCCATTGATTTGCTCCTTTAGGAGTTCGGGATTCCCACGGTATTTGTTTGTTACCTTTATTTTTCTTTTCATTGAGTTTTGAGATCTGAGCATCGGGAAACTAATGGTGCCTTATTTTAAAAGTAGTTGCTCCTTGTCTCTTAAATTCAGTATTATGATTCTTTTTTATAGGATTTGGTGATATGGCAGTTGCAAACTCCATTGGCAGTAATGTGTTTGATATATTGGTCTGCCTTGGTCTTCCTTGGCTGATTGAGACAGCGGCAGTTAATCATGGAGACTTCGTCAAAATAAGCAGTGAAGGACTAATCTATTCATCTATTACTCTATTATCAACAGTCATATTTTTATTGCTGGCCATGTTCTTTACAAAATGGACGTTAAGTAAACCTTTTGGGATCGTTTGTTTATCTGCATATGTAATTGTGATAACATTCTCTGTTTTATACGAACTGAACGTATTTGGTAATTTTGTTGCAGAAATTTGTCCAAGATAATGTTGAACACCACGTTTGTTGGCACTCTTGTATAAACATGTACAGTTAATCTGAAACGATATTTTTATATGATACATGGAAAGATTATAGACTGTAATTAATTTGTTCACCTAAGTTTATTACACAAATATCAAAAGAACACGTATTACAAGTTATAAAAAGTTATTTACACAACTATATCTCCATATCTCTACGAAATATTTTATTAAATATTATTGATGAATAGACGGTAGAATTCAAATTAAACGTACAACAAATACGAAAAGATTATTGAAAAGCAAATTCAATCTTCCTGAATATTAATATTAATATTAAACGGTGAGATGGAAGACCCTGTTATATGAAATAATCTGGGGAATGTCTCATACTGGTAGCCAAGGAGACACTACTGGAAATTCTGAATGTCACATTAATGAAAGTTCAGTTATTTCAATAAATACCCTGAATAAAGAAACATCAGACATACATTGAAATACAAGGCAAATGCCAGTAATTTACATGTCATGTTATGTCAAAAGGATGAATTAAATAAAATAATTGTATAGAAATATTACTGTTATATAGCACGAGAAATAAGTTGCATATTTCACCGTCACAAATGAATTAAGGTACAATCTTAATCAAATCTGCAATATCCTGTAAATTAACAATTATTCATTACGTATGCTAGAACAAAAATTAAATAAGGAAATTACAGCTGATTTTGTGTGACGATAAACTAAACCATGTTTGCAAATGCTTGACGTACCGAAAGTTTCCATTTTCTTTACTTGTTACATATTTGAATAAAATAACGAATATTTCTGTTGTCTTATGCATAACAAGAAAATGTAAGTCTTCAGGTGTCGAAATTCTTCATAAACATACTGTTTGTTTACGGCGTATTTGTACGAGGTTAAAACACAGTTGGAATGCAGTCTTATATTTGTACTTGTATTTATCTAGAAACTCGCCGTTTCACAATCTATAAAGATTTTGATATAAAAAGTAAAATAATAAAAATACCGAACTCCAGGGAAAATTCAAAACGGAAAGTCCCTTATCAAATGGCAAAATCAAAAACTTAAACACATCAAACGATTTGGTTGAAGGCCCTTTGAGTGATACACCTATAATATACAACAGAGCAATGTCTATTGGGTTGTAAATGTATACGACACCTTGTTACAGGGAGATCGTCAGTCTCCTGCTGTGCATGCATCAGATGCACACTCAGTTGAAATGTCACAATCGGGAATTGGACACAATAGGTAAAAGTACAGATCATACGACTTTATTGGTATCTAAAGATTTAAGAAAAAATGTCGCTAGTGAGTTGAGACATTGATACATCGCATCGGTCAACCAATTTGTCATGGTAACCGTAAATTTTTGGAACTTTTGAATTTTTTCGTTCTTCCTCGTAACTATGATGGAGCAGTTTTCGTTCATGAATAAAGAGCACAGCCCTGTAAATAAAATCAGAATAGTGTGAAAATGCACGAGAGTAAAGTATTTCCTGAGATCACTCCCATCTTTTTGGTGGTGCTCGTATTGCTCAGTCTTCAGTTTTCTATGTTGTGTCTTATATATTGTTGTATGTATTTTTGTCCTTTTTTTGTTTTTTTGCCATGGGTTGAAAAAGGACTTTCCTTTTTGAATTTTCCTTGGTGTTCGGCATTTTTGTCACTTTGTTATTACTGAGTTTGAATGTCCCTTGATATCTTTTACTTTTCATGTAAACGCCATACAATGGAGCAGAGGGTATGCTAATGTTAAGAAATTGGAAGTTGACTATTGGGAATTTGAAATCATCACGTTTGTCACGTTTTTAATAGATTCTAGTTTAAAGTCGTCCATATGTGTAAAAAAAGGACAATTAAAGCCGTTAAACCAGCTTGAATTGTATGAAATTCATACGTGAAATCACGTGCGTCGAAAGGCTAGCCATTTCTAACCAGGTATATGATCATATTTGATGTAAAAATCTAATTATATTTAATAATTTTAATTGATCGGGGCCAAAATGAATATAATAGCGTAACGTTTTTCCTGATTGATTTTTGTTATTATTTTTAATCAAGTTCATGTGATAACATTTCAATTAATAGTACTTTTTCTTCACTATGCATTGAAAAGTATCCTAGAATTTGTTATAGTTATGGTAAAATATAATTTTGAACTGTAAATTTGATGAAAATTTTTACAATTTACTATAAAATAAAAATAACAATTGGATCGCGTGTTATAGTTTAGAAATCAAAGCCATTAAAATATCTAATACTCGAATACTTGGCAAATGATTAGCCTCGGACTGGGAACAAAGTACTTAATTAATCCTGTTTTTCACATAGCGTAATTCAACAATTCACATTTTGGTCTTTTTCTATCTTCATAATTATTTATTATTTTGATTTTTAATTTCAATAGACTGCTTAACAGTATGTCCGAGTTGGACACAAATACTTACTGAAGACTCCGGTGCAGCCGCATAGCTTATCTATGATTTATACTTCAAATAAGTAATGGATATACAATGCGTTTTTACTGTATTTTATTTAAAATTTTGCTCTGCTCTTTCTCAGTTGAGTTAAGTGAGACGGCGACGATGTCATAGGCCAACGTCAATGAAATTGCTTTGGAAAATAACACTTTTAATACAAATATATATCCATGGTTCTTAAAATAAAAGGGTGTTTTTCGGCTACAATTCGTCGCAGAGAGATAGTCCTAAGATGAGATAAAGTAAGGAAAATTATATATCTGAATATTCTGTTTTCAAAAAACATCATCGTTTTTTACATTTTTTGACGGGGAAAAAACTATTTTCAGCCGAGTAGCTTGAGATATATTATCACACCGAGAGATCAAAGCAAAAATTAAAAGAAGTAAATGCAATAAACAGATTATGTATACTATTTTACCTCGAGGCAGTTTTTCGTCTACATCTAATCTCAAGGCTTTCGCTCTCCTATGAGATTGTAGCCGAGAAACTCTCTATCGTTCTCAGAATAATAAAAAGAAGCGAAAGATACCAACGGAACATTTAAACTCATATAAAAAAGCCATGGTGAAAAAAAAAACGAAAAAAGATAAAACGAAAAACAACTGTCTACGAAACAAATCACAGAAAACTAAAGACTGAGCAACACGAACACCACCAAAAATCAAGAGTTGATCTCAATTGCTCGAAAAAATTAGCAGATCCTGCTCCTTTTGTAACACCCGTCGTGATAATCCTATACAATACGATGATAAGCTATTTCGAGTGATTAGGCATCATGCATTAGCGGATTGGTAATCGACACTTATCTTACCCTAAGACATCACCATATTTGTAAAACATCGGTCATTTTTCTAACCCTAAATCTTGACTGAATGTGAAATTTTGAAATTGAACACAAACACGCTGTTTTCGTCACAAAGAATAGAGACGACTGTTATCGGTATTAACAACGACATTGAAACATTAAAAAGCACAAAGAACAACACTTAAACTGAGAGCAAGAGCAAAACATCTATAAATAGAGTGGTGGTTCAAATTAAATTATCTCGCGTTTACCCGAAAAATCTCGTCTACACACAGATGTCATTGGCCCGTTACAAACATAACTTTTTATCGACAAATCCACACTGTTTAACCCGCTGCATTTGTTTGCACTTGTCCTACGTCAGGAACCTGAGGTTAAGTGGTTGTCGATTGTTGATGTGGTTCATTAGTGTTTCTCGTTTCTCGTTTTTTATAATAATTCATATTTTGTGAAAAACCACACTGAATCTACCAGAAAATATACTGAAGATGATATTATCAAAATGCTGGACTTTTTGATCGACAATATATTTGTTGAGTTTGGAGGATTTATATTTCAACAGACAGTCGGTATTCCAATGGGAACTAATTGTGCACCCCTACTGGCCGATTTGTTTTAGTACTCGTATGAAGCAGAATTCATTCAGAACCTTCTAAAAGACAAAAAGAAAAAGCACCTTGCGAAATTCTTTAATTTTACAATCCGATATATTGATGATGTTCTATCATTGAATAACCCATATTTCAGCCAATACTTACATCTCATATATTCCAGTGAACTTGAAATTAAGGATACTACTGATACTAGAAGGACTGCTTCATACCTTGATCTTTTCCTCAATATTGACACAGATGGACGACTTCACACGAAAATCTATGATAAACGGGACGATTTCAACTTCCCAATTATCAATTTCCCATTTCTCAGCAGTAACATACCCTCTGTCCCTTCGTATGGTGTTTACATATCTCAATTGATACGTTATTCTCGTGTGCTTGTTCACACTATAAGGACTTCATATACAGGAGTGTGCTCCTTACACAGAAACTGCTCCAACAAAGTTATGAGGAGGACAGATTAAAAATGACACTCCGTAAATTTTACGGACACCATCACGAATTGGTCAGTCCATACGATGTGTCTTTGTCCAAACTAACTAAGGACATTTTTACCACGTGTTAGATTGTGGTTTGTCATTACGTCGTCTGATCTTTTAATTACCGAACGTGACTTATTCCCGATTGTGACTGTTTTGCTGAGTGTGAACCGCATTGCTATAAGACGTGTCACGGTACCTTTCTATTCCAAATTCATGTATTTAATTTTGATGTTATATTTGTTATTCTCGTCGGATTTTGTCAAATGTCTTAACGTCTTTTCTGTTATATTCGTGTGTTATGGTAAAGATAATTAATCACCCCCTTCATTTATTAGATTTTAGTTTGGTTCAACGAAATTTATACGATATATTTGGTTTACAGTTTGATTCAGAAGAAACACCGACATAGCTAGATAATACAATTAATTATCTAATTACTACCACAATTTGATATTAATAAGTATTGTAATTTTCATTGTTATTAATAAATGTAATGTCAGTATTACAAATCTAATCTTGAATCAATCCTAATCCTATCTTATTTTTGGGAAATTTTTTACAAATTCAAATGTGACGTCACTTTGTGTGTTTTTTTAGAATTTAAAAGTGACGTCACTTTGTGCGTTGATGCTTTGGCTAACTCGGGTGTGTATTTTTATATGTTGGATTAAGTTGTTTTATGTAATGTATCCGTTTTTATTCTGTATTTAGTCCCCATTTCGGTTTTATCATGTATATCTATTATATAGTCATTTTATAAAATTTACTGTTTGCAAAATTATAAATTATTCTAAATAATAAGAATGTTCTTGTCCCAGGCAGAAAACCCTGGCCGTGTCAGGCGCAACTTTTTGGAAGTTTTGGTCCTCGGTGCTCTTCGGCTTTGTACTTGTTTTGGCTTTCAAGCTTTTTTTATCTGAGCGTCACTGGATGGTCTTGTGTGGACGAGACGCACGTCTGGCGTATTGAATTTTAAGCCTAGTACCTTTTGTTAGCTATTATTCGTGTGTTTCTTTGTCCTATATGTTCTCCCATTTATTTGTATTGTGGTCCTGTCATGTGATGTTGTCGTTTTGGTGTTGTGTTTAACGTTGCCATTAAAGCGGCAGGTTTGGCATGCCACAAAACCAGGTTCAACCCACCATTTTTTTCTTAAAATGTCCTGTACCAAGTCAAGAAAATGGCCATTGTTATATAATAGTTCGTTTCTGTGTGTGTTACATTTTAATGTTGTTTTTTTGTTGTGTCGTTGTGCTATATCCAAAACGCGCTCTGTAACTTGCCATAGTACACTTATAAACCAAAAGTCAGATCAAATGTGCTAAACGACAATAGTAGTGCATGATCGTATTCTTCGGTTTTTAAACAAATGGTACATGTACGGCGTGTTCACAGTGTGTCAGACTCCGGTTTAA